CCCCGGCGTCCCCGCCACATTCCTCTTCTTTTTCTTTCCCCCCCCTTCGATCTTCCTCCTCCCCGGCGTCCCCGCCACATTCCTCTTCTTTTTCTTTTTCTTCATTCTTCTACTTCTTCCTCCTCCTCCCCCCTTCCCCTACCACCACCTTCGATGGCACTAAGGCCAAAAACAAAAATGAGTCCGGATTTGGGCTCAGCCCTGCATGCGCAGAAGACCCCTGCCTGTGAAAATAAATAAATTTCACCAACTTCTTTACTTGCCCAGGCTATCCTGGGCAACCCCCCCCCCCCCCAAGACTTGTCCAGGTGCACAGTCGGGCAAAGAAAAGTAGTAGACTTTAATCACCCCAACCCCACAATCCTAGCAGACTTTCGGCCCAAACCCCTGACAAGAATGCTCCACATTCGTATGATAAGGACGTACACTAACAGTGCAGATCTATGTGTAGTCTGTGTGTGCACACAGTAAGTCTGTGTGCACACACAGACTACACATAGATCTGCACTGTTAGTGTACGTCCTTATCATACGAATGTGGAGTTACTGTGTGCACACACAGACTACACATAGATCTGCACTGTTAGTGTACGTCCTTATCATACGAATGTGGAGCCACTGGTTGACTGGGAGAGAGACATAGGCTATGAGCCATTGGAGTTGCTGCCCATCTTCTGTTAAGTACTGGCTTGGGATTGTTGGTTTTAAGTAGTATTTGTGTCCACGCTTAACTGTGTACTCAGATATTGGGGTTGGGTTCTTGTTCCTCCTATATGCCTAAGGTTCCCATGCCCACTCACTTCTATCCAACTCCACTTCTTGTACTGGGATTTTTGGTAGGAAAATTTATTTCAACCATAGCTCCATTACCTGGACCTTCAAGATGGTACAGGTTTTTAAAATTTCACTTTTAAACCGCTAGTACACAACCCCGGCCTTGCAGAAAATGAACTTGTCGCCATCCAAAATTCCGAGGCTCGAGCTACCCGACCACAATGGCTGGCGGTGCCAGCCAAAAACGAAGAAAAGTGTGCCAGTGGCTGTTTAGCAAAGCTTGGCGCACAGTGGAGTGCCTCCAAACCCAGGTGTACTGCTGGTTCAATGTCAGCATTGGTAATTAATGGAGAGTCTAGTTTTGTGTAGTCCATGGGGAAGCAGGTGAAACAGGCCCGGGACCAGGCTGTATGTTTTTTATTTTGTCTTGATAAAGAAAGCTCAATGTCTCCCGTCCATACATAAATACAACAACACTGCAGTAGCCCGACTCAGGTATGTCTGCCCTAATCAAGCTCTATCTAATCTGTGGGAGAACTGGTCGGCGGGACTGGTTCTTGGACAGGTGAACCCCATTCTCCATGTTTCCACACGAGGGCCTCCTTAAGTTGTTCTATCCAACTCTCTGGGATGCTTCTGATCATACAAGATAGCTCTTCCAGCATTTTTGCGTTCTCAATTGCTGTTCCTCCTTCCGAACCTTTCATTCATCAAACCATATATGACTGACTTCCCGAACTCGTGTTGAGATCCAAAAAAGCCAGCGGCTATCCTTTTGTGTCGAGGTTCAGGGGTGACCACTCTCCCCACTCTTCACAACTCTTCACAAACGAAAAGAATTTGAAAAAAGTGAAAGGTCCTCCAACGTGCTCCAGCGGCCCATAGGAGTGTCACTGTCAGTATGTGCTCTCTGTGCGCTGTGCGGGGATGACATGTGATAGCAGAAAAAAACACAGAGCTGTGGCATGACGCCATGGTCCAGCACCCTCATATCTGATATCACGAGCAATGCTGCATATAGCACCCTGAAACATTGACCAAAACCGTGTGGTCTTAAAAGTCAGCCCATGGGAAAGTTACCCACAGTACGAACTATCTGTCTGCTCGCAAGGGTTCCAGACCCACCCTTGAAGATTGGCCAAAAGCATATGGTCTTAAAAGGCAGACCATGAGAATGTCACACACTGTACAGACTCTGTCCGCTAACAAGGGCTCTAGGCCACAGCATGTTTATCACTCTCCCATCCTCAGAAGCTCTCCCCTTCAACTTGCAGCGTCCCACTCATCTCTTTTTCTCACCTGTGGTTCGATTCTAATACAGAGTCGGATCACAAGAAATGTACCGATACCGTACATACAGCAGTAACAATTTGGGATGTTGTACCCCGACCAGGTGGCCACACGAGGACCTGACTGTGCCCACCTGCGGGAAGGTTTTGAGAGATGGTCTCGATGGTCTTGAGGGGTGTCATGTGTGTGAGAGTGAGTCATCACACTGCAACCATGCAGGGTTCATGTGGATATCATGACCGGCATGGTTCCCCTTTCGTAACACTGTGCCATGGTTGCCGGACCAGGATGTTACGCCTGAGATAGCCGGTTCAATTCCGTGAAGAGTCGGATCAAAGGAAATGTACTGCTACTGTACTTACCACAGTGACTAGCTGGGAGATTGCAACCGGACCAGGTAGCTGTGTTAGGGCCTGACAATACCCGCATGCAGGATGGTCTTGAGGGTTGCTCTTCTTCAGGGGTGTCATGTGGGTGACAGTGATTCATTACAATGCAATCATGCAGGGGTGGGGCCGATATCACGACCAGCATGGTTCAGCATTGGAAACATCATGCCCTAGTTCCTGTATTGAGGCACCACGGTGTGAAGCCCGAGATTGCTGGTTGGATTCCATGCAGAGTGGAATCATAGGAAATGTAATGATAAAGTGCACAGCGTTATCAATATACGCTCTGATAATCTGATTAGAATTCCAGAGATCCGGTGAGGTTCGAAGACTAAGTGTAACCACCAATCCAACCAAAGCAATCAAAAAGTACACCCTGCTTAGACCCCGACCAAAACAGAAACTAAAACCTAAATCGTGGTACAATGATACTACAATTCTGGAACAACAAAAGAACAGCCTGCTAAGACACACCCCATCCTAACCACTCAGATCCCCAAAAGTGACGAGCTAGCGAGATCAGAAAGTGTATTGTACTCCGCCCATGTGGATCAATAGTACAACTATGAACTATAGATAAAACAGCCCCTAGCTCAAATCCTGAGGGGTTCAGACAAATGCTAGCTCGGAAAGTGTATTGTACTCCGCCCATGTGGATGAATAGTACAACTATGAACTATTGATAAAACAGCCCCTAGCTCAAATCCTGAGGGGTTCAGACAAATGCAACATCTCCGAATTACCTGAGGCCGTTCCACTTCCTAATGATACCTACAGGCTGTCATGCTTTTCTTTAACCACCACTACCTTTCCCACTGTTGGGAAAGCGGGAAAATAGCCAACTCCGAAAAAGTAGGGGTCTGTGCCCGACAATGGCCACCGCTGATAAGTCTCATCAGCGGCCATCGTTTCATTTCAGCCTCCTAAAACATCAGACGCCCACTCAAGGCCAGCATGGGGAACATACCTGCAGGCCGTCATGCTTTTCTTAAAAGAAATGGGAAAAAGAAAGCGGTGTATCCTCGAAGGATCAGCACTTTACCCCTCAATGCACACATGCACAGCAAACTAGGATTTGTTTGTCTGCATGTATGATGTTTCTCACGCACAACGATTGAACAGCTGCTGGCAGAGGAGGATGTAAAAGAAGGGTGGGAAAGTTCCTCACACCTATCACCCTCTTGCCTTGTTCTGAATGTAGATTGCTCCATGTCTCTCCTTGTATGACTGGGTGATGCGCTGCTCTA